TTTGAAATACTGTTGGTTGCCGTGGTAACTTGATTGCTGGTGATAAGTCAACTCTGTGACTTCCAGCAGAATGTAGAGGCTCCCGCAGACTTCCACAGGCTTTGCTGACAGGGTGTGTTGCAGTGGTATAGTTTGTGTTTCCCGGAAGCAGTCCTTTGTAAAATTGCTAAGGATGGGCTGATCTCTTTTGTTAGCAGTGGAGAAGGTTAAGCAAGAGATAGGAAAGATGGAAACAACTCAATGTTGGTGTCTTAACTGGGGTTTTTATTGCTGCGATTAAATACTATGTAAATACTATGAACAAAAAGCAAGTTGGGGAGGAAAGGGTTTATTAAGTTTACACTTCATCATTCTGATCATCACTGAAGGAAGTCAGGACAGGAATTCAAACAAGGCAGGAGCTGATGTAGAGGCCATGGAGGGGAGCTGCTTATTGGCTTACTTCCCATGGCTTACTCAGCCTACCTTCTTACAGAACCCAGGACCACCAGCCCAGGGCTGGCACCACCCACCATGGGCTGGGCCCTCCCCCATTGATCACTAAATGAGAAAATGCCTTACACCTGAATCTCATCCAGGCATTTCCTCAACTGAGGCTCCTTCCTCTGATGACTCTAGCTTGTGTCAAGTTGGCACACAAAACCACCGAGTACAGTCTGTTGTTTTTGTCTCTTTTGGGGGACCTGCTACCCAACTCCCAAATAAATCACACACAGAGGCTTATGCTTAATTATAAATGCCTGGCCTTATTTTGGCTTATTGCTTGCCTGCTTTCCTTAACTTTAAATTATCCCAATCTACCTTTTGCCTCTGGGCTTTTCCCATTCTCTTACTTCTATAAATCTTATTCTTACTCCCTGGCTTGTTGTGTAGCTGGGTGGCTGGCCCTTGGAGTCCTCCTCCTTCTCTGGCTCCTTCTTCTCACTCCTCCATCTCTTTTCTTCTCCCTCCTCCCAGATTTCTCCTTCTGTTTATCCTCTCTGCCTGCCAGCCCCACTTATTTCTCTCTCCTGCCTCGCTATTGGCCATTCAGGTCTTTATTAGACCATCAGGTGTTTTAGACAGGCACAGTGACACAGCTCCACAGAGTTAAACAAATGCAACATAAACAAAAGTAACACACCTTAAAATAATATTCTACAACAATGACCAACGTTTCATTTATCCAGCAGTGTCTGCCTAGCACTTGGGGGATTGGGGAAGCAGATTGCTGAGAGCAGCCCATGTGCCAGCATTGGCTCTCTAGAAGTAACTGAAAAGGGCAGCCCTTGGGCAGAAAGGCTCAGAGCAGAACTCAGGGTACAGCCTTGATGTGAAAACCCAGAGACCCGACTTCCCAGAGAGGTTCCACGATGCCTCGCACTGGGACTGTGGAGAAGTTTCCTCGTTTCTCTGCTTCTTGTTTTCCTCTATAGGGTGAAGGTGACTTCCAGTGCCACCTCAAGTTCTAGTTGTCTACGATGAGAGGACGCTGAGTGAGACAGTTTCAGGTAGTGTGACTCAGAGACCCAGGAGAGTATTTGAACGTCCTGGGCTTGCTCTCTTGCAAATGGGAAGCTCAGAGTCTGAGGCTCTCCATCTGCATTTTCCCCAAGTGCTGCAGATGACAATCGTGCACAGTGAATGTAAGAGCATCTGTGGCAGAGAGAAGCCCCAGAGAACAGGGATTTCCAAGAAGGGCTGATGTAAGACTTTGCACAATGTACACCAGAATGAGTTGACTTCTAAGAAAATGATTGAAAGATAATCTGTTGCCTCTGCTTTGGGGTTGGTTACCCACTAGTGACAAAGTCTCCATGTGTGTACCCTGGAGTGGAAACAAGAATTGTGTTAGAATTATGACAGTGACCATAGATTCAACTTGTGCTTGCCCAAAAACTTCAAATGAGAGGATTCCAGCGTTCCTTTTATTCTTACTGCCATTGAAAGTATAAACTGTCCTTATGATATAGTCCTTGAAATGAAATATGGAGCATAATGGGGTATTGTTGCTACAGTAGTGATGGTTTAATTGTTTTGTGTTTGTGGAGTTTCGTGACAGAATGTGGCAAACCTACCCACTAATATCTATCAATAGTCTATAACCAAGAAAACATAAAAAAAGGAAACTTTCCTCTCTTTCATCAATACACTGTCACAGCTCTGGACTGGACACAGGAAAGTTGTTTGAGCTGTGAAAAAAAAGATATATGCAATAAGGCATGGCTTCTAAAGAGTCATGATCCTCGCTAGGTGCAGAAGAGAAGCATGGCCATGGCAACTCTCCAGGAGTCATTTTCTCTTTTATTGGTGACCTCCCATCATGACACCTTGGATTTGTACGTCAACAGCATTATGATTTCAACATTTTGCAAATTCAATCCCAGTAAAGCTTAAACTAAGTATGTATCTAATATGGATCTGGAAGAAGGCTCTGCCTGAGTATGAAAATCTAGTCAAATTGGCAGGAGCCCACAGTTGGAGGAAGAGATAATAAAACCAAGAGTGCTCTCCCCACAAAACAATTGGGAGTGTGACACAAATGTAGAATGTCGTGGGCAGGGTAGCCCAGTTGGACCTCATGCTGCAGAATCTTAAAGTTTTAAGAGAAGATGGATTCACCTACACAGAGCTTTGCTTGTCAGAGGGGAAGAGTTTAGACTGAGGCTACCTAAGAAAACACAGACGGCTTTTTAGTAGAAGGCAGCTGTCCTTCCTGTAGCCCCAAAGACCCCGCTCCCCAGCACTCTAGGCCACTTGTTTGAGCATCTCAGGTATGCCTAAGGCTGTGGTGATGATCCCTATCTTAGAAAGCTTCCAAATCAAACTAGGCATAAAATTCCGGCACACTTGAAACTATTAGAGATGAAACCAAAGAGAACTGTGAAACAGAAAGAGGGGAAATGGTGTGGGCTCAAAGTGTCAGTTGCCTGATGATGAAGGCAAAAATCTGGTCTCAGCAGGTGTGGGAATGGGAAATTAAGACATTCGGAGAGAATTAGGCAGATGGCTCAGTGGATAGAACCTTGCTGTGCAAGCTCAGGGACCCAAGTTTGGACCACTGGAAACCACGTGGAGCCAGATGTGGTAGCCCATGTCTGGATTCCCAGTGCTCCTATAAGATGGGAGTCTCATGGCCCAGTGAGCTTGGCACACAGTATCAACAATGAAGATCCTGTCTCAATCAAGATTTTAAAAAAGCAAGGGACAATACCTGAGGCTATCCTCTGACCTCCACATAGACACTGTGGTACACGCTACACACACAAACCTGACCGGGGGGGGGGGG